GTGTGTGTGTGTGTGTGTGTGCGTGTTATTTAATAGAAATTACTGTTTTTATTCAGCATATAGGAATTAAATTGATAAAAGTAACAACATTTATAATGTTTCAAAAAATATATTTAAAATAAATTATGTTCTTTTGAACTTTCTATTAATCAATGAATCATAAAAATGTTTCCAGGAAATATTAAGAAGCAAAAACTGTTTTTTTTTACGATAATAATAACAACAACCATTATTGATAACTGAGTACCAATACATATCCAGCACTAAATCAGCATGTTAGAATGATTTCTGAAGGATCATGCACTGAAGACTGCAGTAATGATGCTGAAAATTCACAGGAATAAACTACATTTTAAAATATATTCAAATAGAAAATAGTTATTTCACATTGTAATAATATTTCACAATATTACTTTTTAAACTTTTAACAATATTAATTTTTGATCAAATAAATACATGCAGCCTTAAGGGTTAGCACTTAAACATTAACATTGCTAGCTCATTTCCACGGACGCGGCCCGGATCCGCTCTGCGACTGTAGTTCCCGCTCACTGAAACCGCGCCCGGGCTGGATCCGTGTTACAGCACTGTAACAGATGTAACTGTAACGCGGATTTGCCGGTTTTAAAACGGATCTGGCGCAGAGTCAGCTGCTGTCTGGGGTGAGTACGATCCATGTGTGTGTATTTAATGTGCTGGTGGTTGTGTATAATCCTTCTGCTAGCTTTCTTTGCAGTGTTTCCCAGGACCTGCGTGTTTCTGTCCTTTTTCTAGGGTAGGTCCTCGATGAGCACAATCTCTGCTGGGTTCAGAAACCGGGTGCTCGACTTGCAGTGTTTATTTCACTATTCGATATATGTCCAGACGGTACGATAAGCCGGGTTTTCGGCTTCATACTTCCTAGATTATGCGGCCAGATTACAGGCTTCTGCGGGAGCCTTCTTGATCATTAGGCCCCCGGCACGGCACTGCAAAGATTTCCTGGATGTCCGGGCTGGGGTTACGCTTTCATGCTACCCTGACTGGTCTACCGTATCTAGGTCGCCCTGAGGGGCCTCCCGATCATCAGGATATCCCCTCTTGCTGAGGCATCGAGCGGGAAGTATAGGTGGCATTTGCGAGAACCTTCTTGTGTAATGCTGTCTCAGGCAGTGCTCCCCTCACCTTAGAGGGTTGTATTTGAGCTTGCCTCTCCCATTTGGCTCAGTACTTCCAGGTATCTGTGAGCAGATGCTTGGAAAACTCTTAAATCCATACTATGGTAAGT